TATTGCTGACGTTCTATGTAGGCTTAAGTTGTAATCTCCGAGACCAACGGCTAGGAGAAATGGTAGAACCCAAGGTAAATAGGAGAATCTGGATTTTTTAAAATAAATTGGGCACAATGGGAAGGGGAAGGCTCTATGGAAATAAATCTGCATATATGGTGCTGTAATTCCTTGGACATTCAATATTACATGTTCTACAATTCTCCCATCTTTCTCCCTTTAAATCTAGGCCTAGTTTAACTGAGGTAGACTTTGGGCATAAAATGTGCAAAGGTTCACACTTTTGTAAAAAGCCATCTATAGTCACTTCAGATTATAACATGAAAGTCATATGCATTTTGGAGTTCTGAAGCAATGGGCAAACTGGGTGGCTGTTGGAGGAATGAATTGCTTTGAGGCTGATGGTAACAATGGAAAGGTCTTGTACTTCCTCACCATCTGTTCTGCCAAATTATTAAATGTTACTGACAAAGGAATCCTGTAGGTATCTGTTGACTCAAATAACTAACAGTCATGGTGAAGAAATATTAGGGTAATTACAGGGCCAGGTTCAAGGAAACAGGTATACATAAGAAAAGCAACATATCAATTTCCTAACATCAGGATTTCTCCATTTAGCTGACAAGACACCTTGTCATTTAATAACATTTTTGAAGCAATGGGTTATTCTAAAAACCAATAAAAGGCAAAAAACTATAGACTAAGGAGGGAAAAATTTAAAAACAATACCCTGTTTGCCATAAGCAGCACCCAAAGATGTATTATTCTTACAAGACTCATAAGGGGATATATTTTAGGGAACAAGATGAAAAACATATGCCTCAGGTAAAGAGAAAAGTATGAAAAGTCTGAGGATTTAAAATGCATGTAAATCAACTCACAGTACCCAAAAAGATGTATATCCTCATTAATATTTACTGGTGATCAGGATTAAACTTTTGTTCGAGTATTTTTATCTTCCTGATCTTCAGCTTTCCAATAACTCAAATATGTCTTTTTCTCCTGTTACAGAAGCTCAGACTCACATATACATTAATGTGTCATTACCATTTTTGTAGTTTGCAGAAAATAAATCCTGAACTACAGAATAAAAACAAACCAAAGTTAAAGAACTTTTTAAAAGAGCGCGCATACACACACACACACGCTCACGCGCGCATGCACTGGCACGCACACACGAGTGCTCCTAAGGCTGGTATAAGATAAAAGATAACCCTGTGTTCTTCTTTCTATTCAGTCTTTTCTGAAAACTCTCAGCAACATAACATTGTCTGCAGCACTTTTAATTCAGGGCATATTCTAAGATGATACTGCTAGGATGAAGAGGTAGGAGAGAGAATCTATCACTATACAAAGAAAGTTATTAGCAGTAACAACTTCAAATAAGGGCAGGAAAAGCCTAGTCATACCAGCAACAGACTACACCAGTCTTCTAGGTTAATGTGGGGGAAAGCAAAAACATATTTCTATTAGCTAGTTATTCCTTTATAACTCTCTTCATTTTCAGACAGCGAAATGGTTGAAGACTTATTTGACTTAGCAGATGGGCAATGTTATATAGAGACACTTAAGGAAATTATACAAATTGATCCAGGTCGTTCAGAATATAAAGTTTAGATTACCCTGGCATCGACCAGGTGCCCAGGAAGAGAGTGACAATTATTTGTTAAATTTAAGCTATAGATTCAGTCTTCTCTGAGTTATCTAATCTAGTCATCTACCTTGGTCAACTTTATTAGTTATCTACTGACTCTACCCTTTATTTTCTGTAATGTAGAAAATGGACAAAGTTAAGTTGGTGATTGAAAGCTTCTTAAAGAATTAAAAGCCAGAAGTTTACAAAGTGCAAGTGGAAAGAGTGCAAGAAAGGACAAGGACTCTCTCTCATATAACTCTGTTACTACCCACAGTGCCTAATAAAGTGCCTTACCTTGTGTTCAATAAATATTTATTGAAGGAATAAATGGAAAAATAGCTTGGAACTTAAAAAGAGAACCTATTAAAATATAATTCTAAAGCCAATATATTGTAGAACCTGTAATTCTTGTTAACAGTTTAAGATGAATGAAAGGATCCAAATCCTCACAACTTTTTGATGCATCTGCTGCTAGAATACAGTAAAAATAACCCTATCTCATCTCAGTATCTCATTGTAGTCTGATCCCAGGAAAAATGTAAACTGTGATTAGATGAATTTATCTGCAATTTGCAACCAAGGGTGAGGAAGAGTGGTTAGAGTTCTCTTCCATATCCTGACTGGGGTCAAGATAAATGTATGGGTCACCATGAATTGATGGAACAAAATGTGAGGAAATGATATATAAATGAGGACAACTGACTTGGGTAAGATATGAAAGAAAAGCTTCTAGGAAGCAAGGGAACAAGACTCCAAATACTGCTTGACTAATAAAGAAAAATCAGAATCAATAATATTATCCACCTAGAATTGTGAAAAAGAATTCTAACATGTAAGAACTAACACAGAGAATTAATCTACAAAAGGCTAAGGGTAGCATAAGCTCTAATTAAAATTAATCCTACCAAGCTATCTGGCACAACTGAAATTTCACATAAAGGTTTTGAGAATCAAAATACTAACAAGTTTTAGTGATCACCTCAAGTTATTTAGAAGGGAAGAAGAGAAACAATTAACTGGATATCAACAGCAGGATACCCAAGGGGGCCTATACAATTCTTTAAGAAAAAATCAATGTCATTGAGAATAAGAAAGTGTCAGGACAAAAAAATTTAGGTTGAATTCAAATGTAATAAAATCGTGACCCCTTGTGATTTGGACTCCTGTAATATTTGTACCTCACAGAAGCAAAATTCACAGGGCCGTAGATAATGATAAAGCAAAGGAAAAAATACAAAAATTGAGCATCAAATGATCAATACTGATGATCGAGTAGCCTCAGAAAGAATGTCCAAAAAGAGCATGTGGACTTTGTAGCTGATGGTAAGGAGAAAAAAATGAAGTCTCTCCTCACCCAGCAAAGTACTCAGAGCTTTTTCTCTCTACGAGTGTGTGTGTGTGTGTGTGTGTGTGTGTGTGTATGTGTGTCTGTCTGTCTGTCTGTCTCTTTCTATAAATACATATACATATTATATATATGTACAAGTTACGTGTGTGTTATATATACATGTATGTATGTATATATAAAAATAAGTAAGTGCTTTTGAAGTTGTACTGCTTTTTGGTTTTAGCTTTTAACCAAGATGTACCACCCAACATTAAATATAAATTTATCATCAGATGTAAATATGAGAAAAGCACTGGTTACCTAACGAAAATTGGATAAAGTAATCCACACAAAAAACTATGTTATCTAACTATATCTACATATCTACCTAGATATGTCTAGGCTAATCCTTCTACTCGCTACTTTCTCTATTTTAGGCATCTTGTTAAACTGAGGAAAATTAAGACTTCTATTCAATTTCTAATTCAAAAGAAGTTATAGATTAACTTTTCAAACAAACTTACGTTCCTTATGTAGACCGTTGTGATTTCCAAAAGTAAGCTGTTCTCTCACATTGAGAATAATAACTGTCACTGTAGTTCTCCATGGTACAGATAACAACACTCATACCTTTTTACTCTAAGATCTTCTTGTCTGTAGCTTTCCATAAATCCTCCATGAAGGATCTATCCCATATGCTAGAGGTTTTCCTACAGTTTTTTAAAACCTTGTTTATAACAATGCAGTACCCAGCCCTTCTCTCATCTCTGCTACATGACTGGCCCCCCTCTCTTTTCAGTATGAGTACTTGTTAGTGTCTTTTTCACCAAGCCTCATATATGTTGTTGTTGATAATGCGCTGCAAACTATTTACATCTTTACATTGACCCTTGCTTGCCAGCAATTTTTATCCTTCCAAAATCACAGGGTTTTAGGACTTTGAGCCATATAGAATTATTGTATGAATACTAGTATTTAAAAATGAGCTTTTGTAGCAGTGAGCAGCTTGGGATCACTAAAAGCATTGCACAGTTTCTATACGTGACTCAGCCCAATCTGTTCTCCTTCACAGTTCTGGCCCTAGTATCTATCAACTATGCCTTTGAGCCACCTATCAAAATGGATGGCCAAGAGGAACAATTTGTGGTCCTCATCACTGTGTTTTGCCAGAGTGGACAGTCAGGCTGATATTTCGGAGTAAATACAGACCTCCCTGAGAAGGTCCTATCATAACTCCATGCAATCAGCACAATGTCAGTTCCAAAGAGGAAGATGGAGAAAACCTCTCCAATGAAAAGACAATCTCTTTTATGGGAATTTGTACATGATTTACTCCACGATGTCTTTTGTGTGCAGCTGGCTCCTTATTTTGTGCCTCACTTGACACTGAAACTTAGCACATCAGTGAACAAAGTTATTTTTGTGGCCATATCTGATGTGGAATTTTATATGATCTTAACATATACAGAGAAATTCATTTGAGGAGGCCCTTTAATATTGTACTTGCTCAAAATTTCCCTCAAAAGTAAAAATTTTTATAATTAACAAGCAACTAACACCATGGGATTTTACATTTCCTACATCTGAGTCAATTTTGTTAACTGTGAAAATATACTCTACTGTGGAAAATGTCTGCAAAATAACTTGCCTCTTCCTCTCTCTTGTTCTTGTCAAGGGAATGCGCAATTCATGCACAGACCATTCTAACAGAGAATTCACACAGATAAAAGAGTAGGCATGCTGGTAGTTATAGATGTCTTCCCTTCAATGGCAGTAACATTATGTTTTTCCGTTCTTTATGCATCTTCCCCTCTTCTGAGATATCTTGTATCTTGCAAATTGATACGTTAGTGTCTTCAATACTATGCTACCATAGCACAAATTTATTCTCTATGTACTTGCTCTTCCCAGCTTTATCTTCTTTAGTCTCAAATGCTACTAACATAATATACGAGGCACCAAGGTGGCGGAATCCAAATGCAATGGTACCACTACTATTCCTAAAGAGAATAGACTGAACATTAAAACACTGGTAGATCTCTGAATTCACATTTATTTATTGTTCTTCCATTTTCATCAACAAATGCTTTTTAAATGATTTCTTTGGCATAGTTTGGTCTAATGCCATGCTCCCCATGGGCTCCTTTTCCAATTCAAATGATTTTTGGTATATTTTGAAGTGATACAGAGTAAACGTCTTTAGTTTTTACCACTGCCCTTTTTATTTTCAAGTAACAGTTTGTTTAAACAACTCAGGTTCTTTCATCATCATCTCCACTGTGTTTTACAGACAGGCTAATACACTAAATGGTGTTGCCTTTAGCTGCCATATTCCCCCAACTTAGCGAAGAGATAAGTTTTTCCTGGCTGAGACTATTTCTGGGTTCTTTTGTTTTTCTTATTATGGTGACTATTTTGTATCAGTTAATCTTCTGCAATGAATGGTAACAGAGTAAATGTCTTTAGTTTTTACCACTGCCCTTTTTATTTTCAGGCAACAGTCTGTTTAAACAACTCAGGTTGGAGCTACTAGAATTGTATATTATACCTTTTCATCCTTGTCATTTTTCTAATTTCTTGTTGATTTTTTCCTTTCCTCTAACTAGCTGATATTATTGCTGATTCACAGACAAGGGATTCTAAAGTGACTGACAAGTAACTAGGCATTTTCTGTCTGTTAAACGAGATAGTCAATCTTATTTTTTCCAGGTTCTTTGGTGTGCATCATGTGTCATGTTACATCTCTCTTCTTGAAGAATATATTCATGAAGTGGAAACACAAGGATTCCAATCAGTTATCGATTGTTGGTCTCTTTCATTTCTTGAATCTGAATCATATTTTCCAGCACTTTTAATCATCTTCCCCTATACCTACTTTTGCACGGAAGTTACCAAGAAACAAGAGGGACACTGACTTAATGTGGAGAATCTTGTCAAGTTCCTTATGAAATCTCTCTATCACTTCATGGTGGTCTACTTGTTTATGTTTATTATGAGTATTATTTATAAGTGAGAAACCCAAGTGTTCCACAAAATTACATTTCTTATTACCTGGGCAAAAAATAAAGCCAAATCTGTCAACTCCCTTGAAGAACAATCCAAGAAGAACCTCAAGTTCCTCCTTCATTCAGATGCGACTTCCTTCTGCCAGTGAGAATGTCAATATGGATGTGGTTCCATTCTTGTAGGAGTCTAACAACTGCTTTGTCATCTGCAGGGATTGCAGATGAAAACAACTGATGAGTGAAATGATTATGCATAGACAGTCTAAGAATTATGTGATCCTTGGCACTCTCTGCCCTGTTTTCCACTAATCTGATCAGAAAGGCAGAAGGGAGCCACACAGGCCTGACAGCCATTTTGTATGTCAATCTTCTCCATGATTCACCATAACCAAACAATTCTTATCTCCACCGAGCTGGGGTGGCCTTTGACAGCAGGTCAAGCCTCTCACTGGGACCGTACCTGAAGCCTTTCCAGTTTGAAACAAATAGCCATAGCCCCCATTCTGCCAGCATAGCCTGGGAAAAATCAGGGTCACCTCTATACCTTGATGATTTGAGTAGGGCTAGCATCAAAAAAAAAAAGTCAAAATCAGCATAGTGTAGTGAATAAAGAGCCAAACACAGAGCCAAGAAGCCCTGGGTTCAATTCCTGTCTCTGACACATACCAGCTCTATGACCCTAGGAAACTAACTTAATGTCTCAGAGACTCCCGGCACCTTTCTAACCATAAATTAGAAAACATAGGCAGATCTGCACTGGAAGAGGCAATTTCCTCACCAGAAGTTCCCTACATCAATAAAAACACAGGTATTAATTGTTATCTTTCCCTTCCCCCGCAAAGAAAAAAACTCCCAATAACAACTCGCATGTATACAAAGCATTAAGGCTTAACAAAGCACAAGAACCCTTTGAGGTAGGTAATACTTTTGCTTTAGCCACAAATGTACGTGGGCAATTCATGAAAATGATGGAATAGTTTAGACTGCCAAACAAAATCTAACATCAGAATTCAAACAATGGTAGGAGTGAGGAAAATGAAGGATGTATTTGTCTAAATACAATGAAAGAAACGAAAATAAAAATAAATCTAGATATTAAGAATAACTGCATATTATGTTTGAAGGATTCAAAATTTCCTTCATATCCTTTCCATATTCAATTTGATAAGCCCCAGCAAAAAAAGGGCACATGAGAATGTGCCCTTGATCTGACGAATCAAAGACCAGGGTGTGGAGAGATATTTCTAACTAAAGACCTAAAACAGACCTAAAAATGGTTAAATTGTTCTGGCAGGGACAGCCAACAAAGCTATAGCTGTGGTACTTAGAAGCTCTGAGAAAAAGGGGAAGCCTACATTGGAGAGATAACAAAGATAGAGATTGAAACACACTGCTTCCACCAAAAACTGACTCAGAAACTTCTTTCAGCAACAAAATATGGATTGCCTACCTTGATACACCTTTCTTATTTTAAAAACTAACTTGTTAGATTAGTTCCCTATGTACTTTTAAAGTAGTTAAGAGAAATGCCTAAGTTCCATGAGGCATAGAGAAATGAATTAGAAAGACAGTTGCCTCTACATTAAGTGTAAACAGTTTTCTTCCAAGACAGAATACTTTGTTAATTCTTTAACCACCTCACCCTCCTTGACAAGCTGACCAGCAATGCGAAAGTCATGGAATAAAAGCTGGGAACACCCGCCCAGGGCCCAACCACACCAGAGGATCTCACTTTCTCCAGAAGTTCTTCTTTTCCCTCAACTGCATCTTCTATTCTTCACAGTTTGTGTTTTTTGCCTTTGAATGAAAAGATGTTGAAAGAGGAATCTCGCCTATGAAAAATTCAAATCTTTTAAAAAATTTCTAGTAATTCCTTTTGCATTTTACAAACAAAATATGATCCTTAACAGAACAAAGAGAAAACAACATTAAAATTAAGCAGACCCAAACTCAAGCATCCACTTTTCATACTTCTCTAGGTCTGCAGCAGACACAGACTTAGAGATTTTCTTCAGCGCCAACTCAAAATCCCCTTTTGTAACAGGCATCTGCAGCTCTTCCTTAGAAAGGGCTCGTATCTCTTCTGGGCTTAAGCCATGGATGCGCCGTCTCATTGCCATTAGAGAAGCATCCCTGGGGATACATAAAAATACATCAAAACAACCGCTGCACATGGTAAAAACAAAATGAATGGGAACAGCTAGGTGGTGCAATGGATAGAGCTCTGGCCTTGGAGTCCAGGAGGACCTGAGTTCAAATCTGGCCTCAGGCACTTGGCACTTACTGTGTGACCCTGGGCAAGTCACTTAACCCTGATTGCCTCACAAGAAAGAAAGAAAGAAAGAAAGAAAGAAAGAAAGAAAGAAAGAAAGAAAGAAAGAAAGAAAGAAAGAAAGAAAGAAAGAAAGAAAGAAAAATGAATGACTGTGCTAAGAACATTCAAGAAAGTACCTGTTTTATAAGACTAAGGAGTATTTTCTACAAGTATCAGGATAGGGGTTCATAACAATAACAATAATAATAATAGGAATGAACAGAGAGAAGCACAGGATGTCGTGGAAAGAGCACTGAATTTGGCCTTGAAGAGCCAAGGCTCAGCTCTGACATTTGGCACTATCTATCTACGTGAGGCTGGGAAGTCACTCCATCTCTCGGACTTGGTTCCCTATACAATAAGAATGCTGATCCAGGTAACTGCTAAGATTCCTTCCAACTCAAAATTTATATTTGATCTAGAAAGTCTCTCTAACTCTAAATCCTATGATCTTAAAGTAATAATGGCATTCATTTATAAATGGAAGCAACCATGGCATAGTGGATAGAGAACTGGTCTCTATGACAGAAGACATGGGTTCAAGGCCTGACCCCAACTCTATGTTGGCTATGTGACCTTGGGCACATCACTTGGCCTCTCAGTGCTCCATGCAACCCTCTAGGATTGAGCTGCAGAGAAGGTGCCAACCTGCATTGGTAGAGGGAGTGTCCTTATCTAGGGGCTCCTTAGATTAATGAAATCACAGGTCCAGTGATGATCCCTATACCCTACTTTTATGTAACTGTGCAGTTTAAAAAATAATTTATACGTTAGTCATTGCATAATGTAGCTGTTATTGTGCACAGTGTTCTCTTGGTTCTGCTCACTTCACTCAGCATCAGTCCATAGAAGTCTTTCCAGGTTTTTCTTAAGTCTGCCTGCTCGTCATTTCTTATAGCACAATAGTATTTCAATATATTCATATACCACAACTTGTTCAGCCATTTCCCAATTGATGGGCATCCTCTCAATTTCCAATTCTTTGCCACCACAGAAAGAGCTGTTATAAATATTTTTGTACATGTGGGTTCTTTTCCCATTTTTATGATCTCTTTGGGATACAGCCCTAGAAGTGCTATTGCTGAGTCAAAGGGATGCACATTTTTATAGCCCTTTGGGCACAGCACCAAATTGTTCTCCAAAATGGTTGGATCATTTCACAACTCCATCAACAAAGCATTACTGTTCCAATTTTCCCACATCTTTTCCAACATTTATCACTTTCCTGTTTTGTCATGTTGGAGAGTCTGATAGGTGTGATGTGGTACCTCAGAGCTGTTTTGATTTGCATTTCTCTAATCAATAGTGATTTAGAGCATTTTTTCATATGACTATAGATGGCTTTAATGTCTTCATCTGCTAACAACTAACACTGATGAACTTAGCCCTTCTCAGCAATGCAGGGATCTAAAACATCTCCAAAGGTCTCATGATGGAAAATGCTATCCACATCTAAAGAAAGAGCTATGGAGTTTAAATGCAGATCGAAGCATACTCTCTGCTATTTTGTTTTCTTCCATTTTGTTTTGTTTTCTCTTTCTTGTGGTTCCTCCTATTGGTTCTAATTCTTCCTTAAAACATCACTAATGTGAAAATATGTTTAACAGCAATGTATATGTATAGTCTATATCAGATTGTGCACTATCTTGGGGAGGGAGGGGGTTATTTATTTTAATTTTTTAAAAAGCCATTTATATAATACCCCCTCGTTTGTTCCTCACAACACTCCAGTGAGACAGTTCATGTAAACAGGATCCTCACTAACAGAGGAGGAGACAAAGGTTCAGAGATATTAGTCACTTGCCCTGGATCACAGAGGGAATAGGCTCAAATCGATCAAGGCATCAAGTACTCAAACCCAGGGGCTCCTCTATGTCTAATGCTCTTCCCACACTGCCTGAACTATGGAGCATCTTCCAGATCAGCAAAACAGAAATGTGATGAAAGTAACCCAAAGTGCATGCTCTGGACAGCCTTACTTTCTATGGCAGGAATCTTGAGAAATACTCCTTTTCTCCCACTCTGAGCTAAGCTTTAAATAATCCATATCTAAAGGACACTGAAATTATGGGAATTCATAAAGTACCTGTCTATGACTTAACTTAACCAGAAGGGGTAAAGCCAGCTCCTTCTTTATTTGTAACATAAATCCAACCAGGAAAAAAAGCCAAAGCACTCTCCAACCTTGTGAATGTCCTCATGGCAGAATCTCTAGAACTAAGGTAAAGGTAAAGGGGCTAGCTTCTCTCTCAACCCCAATTATATCTGTGAACTGGCTGCTCAGAGTGTTACTTTAATCACCAAGCCCCAAAAGAATGTGGGTCACAATGGATATTCTGAGTAGAAGAAAAACTAGACCTGGCAACAACTGGCTGAAGGGAGAAAGAGAAAAAAGAACAGGCATCTTTGATGTGGAAAGTAAGAGCACTGATTGGGAGGAAAGACCTTCACCAAATTTAAACAGATGCCAAAAGAAATCCTTGGCAATAGTATTTTAGAAACACTTATCTCTACCACACCTCTATAGGAGACTATACAAGTGAAGATGAAAAAACTGAGGTCAATTGAGGTGAAATGATTTGGCAAAGGTCACCCAGGTAAGCTGTGTGTTAAGTGGGTCTTGGACACACATCTTGACTCCAAGTCCAGGATTCTATCCACTATGCCTCCATGCTGCCATCTAAACCTCTGTGTTTTAATATTACAATATACATACTAAGTAATTATTGTATTGACATTGAAATCAATATAGGCACATTACTTAAGGTGTTTTTTTTTAAACAGGAAAATCTTTATTATCACCGATTGATACAAAATGGTTCAGAGACCTTTATGCCTCTGAAACCTTTATGTCTCTAAAACAATGGGAAGCCTATAGGGAAAAAAAAACTCATAAAACAAAATTTCTGTTCATTTGTTTCAAAGTGCTATGCCGGCTTTAATTTCCTCACTTAGGGTTCATATAGCCATTAAGATTATTAAGTAACATCATTTAAGTGTAAGTAGGGAAAGTGCAAGTGACCAAACTGTAGCAAACACTGGATTAGCATGCAGCCCCTCAGAGTCCAGAGTTTTTTCTGTCACTATGAAGCCCAGAAGCTCCAGCAGGCAGGAAGCCATATGGCTAACAGAAGAATATTCTAATTATGGACAATGACACTAAGTTGTAAACAACTGATACAAACAAGGTATTCATCTGAAAACAGTATCATGACATTACATTGATAATTATATTTAACTCACAAACTTTTTTACTTTAGATTTTCTAGATTTTAAAAAAATAATTACTAAGGTTTTTTTTTAAATTAAAGAAATACCTGCAAACATTCGTTATGTCAGCCCCAGAATAGCCTTCAATCTTCTCCGCTATCTCGTCTAACTGAATGTCAGGATCTAATTCAACTTCACGAAGATTGATCTTAAGTAGCTCTGCTCTACCTTTTGCTGAAAGAAAATTTCTGGTTAGAGATTTTACAAACCTTTTTACTCTGGCGCTATCACAAAACCCTGGGAAAAGAAAGAAGGAAGTGCAGTGCAGAGAACAATCAATTCGGTGGCTCTGACTCACAAAATCATGACTCAGGAACCCACACTCACTGCTGTGGCTTCTATATCTGAAACGGTGCTACTGCGTGACACCTCACAACACGTAGATGCAGAACTTTAATAACAGTGCCTGACACCATGTGAGCACTTAACTAATTCCTGGTGATTGCCAGATTCATGGGCAATATACCCATAAGTTATCAATTAATCAATAAACATTTGTCAAATGTTTACCACATGCCAGGCACAATGCTAGGCACTGACAAAAAGAGTCAAGAGACAGATCCTACCCTCAAGGAACTTATAATTTAATGGAGCAGACAACATACAAACAAATACATACAAAGCAAGCTATATACAGAATAAATAGGAAATAAAAGAGAGGGAAGGCACTGATTGGAAGAGGGGTTGGTGAAGACATCCTGTAGAAGTGAAATTTTAATTGAGACTTAAAGGAAGCCAAAGAGGTCAGTAATGGGAGCAGAGGAGATAGAGCATTCCAGGCATAGGGGACAGGCGGAGATGTGCCTGGAGCTGAGAGATGGAGTATCTTGTCTGTGGAACAGCCAGGAGGCCAATGTCACTGGATTAAAGAGTATATGTTGAAGCACAAGGTATAAGAAGACTAGAAAGAGGGGAGAAGGCTAGGTTATGAAGGTTGTGCTTTGAATACCAAGCAAAGAGGATTGTGTATTTGCTCCTGGAGGCAACAGGGAGCCACTAGAGATTATTACTGAGTAGTAAGGTCACATGATAAGACCTGAGTTTTAGGAAAATCACTTTGGTGGCTGAATGGAAGAGGGATTAGAGTGGGGAAAGGCTTGAGGCAGGCAGACCCACCAGCAGGCTATTGCAATAGTCCAAGTGTGAGGTTACAAGGACCCGCACTAGAGTGGTGGCAATGTCAGAGGAGAAATGGGGACATATTCAAGAGATGTTACAAAGGTGAAATCAACAAGCCTTGGCAACAGACTGAACGAGGGTGGGGATAGTGTTGTCCTCAACAATAACAGGGAAATTAGGAGTAAGAGAAAGTTTAGGGAGGAAAATCACGAGTTCTGCTTTGGATATACTGAATTGAAGATGCCTAGTGGACACCCAGTTTGAGATTTCTGAAAAACAGGTGGAGATGCAAGAGTGAAGGTCAGCAGAAAGACTAGAACAGGAAAGGTTCCGATTACAGCACCATCAGTACCCAGATGGTAATTAGACCCATGGGAGCTGATGAGATCACCAAATGAAGTAGCATAAAGGAAGAAGAGAAGAGGGCCCAGGACAGAACTCTGAGGTACACCTGTGGTTAAAGGGTGTGATCTGGGAAAAGAGAAGGAGCAGACAGGTAGATAGGTAGGAGGAGAACCAAGAAAGAGTGGTATCCCAAAAACCTAGTGAGAAGAGAGTATGAAGGAGGAGAGAGTGATCAACAGTGTCGAAGGGACCAAGGGGATCACTGGTAACTTTGGAAAGAGAAGCTTTAGTGGAATGATAAGTAAGGGGGGGGAGAAGAGAGTGGCAGGAGAGTGAGGGAGAGGAGAAAGTGAAGGCACCTATCGCAGAAGGCCTTTGAGAGGAGTTTAGCCACTAAGGCTAGAAGATGTATAGGATGATAGTTAGCAGGGATGGAAGGATCAAGTGAGAGTTTTTGAGGATGAGACATGGGCAGGTTTCTAGGCAGTAGGAAATGAGGTTTGAACAGGTAAAAGGTTTAACCCTGGTATAGAGGAAGGCCAATTCATCATGTGGTACAGGTGAAGGAAGAAATAATAGCAAAAGATGCCTGAGTGCTAAAAGATCAGGAAGAGGGGGAAAGAGGTAGCTCAAGGTGAATAGCCTCAATGTGAGACAGCACAGGCTTAAAGGAAACTGTTTAGTTTTTTTTAAAGAACTTTCAAACTATTCTATAAAAATGTAAATATTAGTAAAAAAAATATGAAATGCTACCTGGGCTTTTGGAGAGCAATGAAAATAATAGGTCTTTGCTAAAAAAAAATACAATTTTACAAAACCAAGCAATATGAAAATCTTTATTCAGTTCTCATTCTTCTTAATATATCTGCAGTATGTAATACTATCGACCACTCACTCCTTCCTCTCTTAGTTTTTGTGACACTGCTCCCCCCTGGTTCTCCTCTTACCTGTCTACTATTCCTTCTCAGTCTCCTTTACTGGATATCCTACCCCCTAACTGTGAGTGTCCCCTAAAGTTCTGTCTTAGGACCTCTTCTTTCTCTATGCTCTTTCTCCTTCTGATCCATTATTTTATCCATGTAAATTCTCCCTCCACTAATGAAAATCATGACCTCTGTGCCATGACAGATGGCTGCATGACTTGCCTTGGCCAAAAAAAAATCACTTGGCAGCTCAATTTTGGTGATAAGCTTCTCAGAGTTTAGTCTGGTCCCTAGATATACATAGCTCATCAACAGGACTTATAATCAAACACTTTGAATTTAATAGTATCTAAAGAGTTCTATTTCTTTGTTCCCAAAAGACTTGGGAATCTGAGTTCACTTTTTTTACTCCAATGTAGATATAGCCAAAAGAATCACAATCAATGGGTGTTTATTAAGTGTTTACTACGGGCCAGTTACTCTGCTAAGCACTGGGCATACAAAGAAGGGCACAAATACTCTCTTTTTTCAAAGAGTTCACATCCTACTGGGGGAGACAAGACCTAAATAATTAAGTATAAATAAGATCCATATAAAGCAGAGGGAAAGTATCATGAGAGAGAAGGCAGTGGCAGCTGAGGAAAGGCTTGCTGCAGAGAGTGACACTGGAGCTAAAAGCTACCTTCATGCCACACTGAGTTAGTGGAGCAGGGCTTTAGAAGAGGCATAACAGCGCTGTCAGAAACATGACAGAAGAAAACACTCAGCTTCGTGTGTAGTTGCGGCCTAGCCACTGCTTCTGCAGGCACTGCAGTCACAGCTACTAAAGACCTGGAAAACAATGTCATTGCCACCAAAATCCTTGGTCCCGCCACACTGTTCAACATCAGAAACTTGCACGATTTTGTCAGTGGAATAACATTTTAAAAGATGCATTATCATCTGCTTTGATGCTACAGCCAAAGGATCCTAGGGCTTTTCCATCTGAATTAAAATTTTCTGTTGCCTCCCCCATTAGAAGAGGAGCTCCGTGAGGTCAGGGCCTGCCTCTGCTTTTCTGCTGGCATACCCAGGGCACATACTAAGAGTTTAATAAATGCTTTTTCATTCATTCAATCAATCAATTTTTTTTTCTAGAAAACAACAATACAGGAGGGTCAAAATTAAGTTTCCTAGAGAAGAAGATTCAGAGGCCCAAGTCTCTGTAGCAACAGAAGTGTATATGGAAACTACCCTCCTTGTGGCACTGCCATGGTCACAGGGCACAGTAGCAGAGCACTCCACAAATTTCACACTTAAGTATAAAAAGCCTTCTTTCTCATGATAACTAAGATCCAAATATAAAACTATTTCCCAAAATAAAATGTAATCTTGAAAGTATTTTTAAATTCTTAGTTTTCCAAGTTTTCCCCTTGCCATGTCACCCACTTTAAAATTAATTCCACAAACACATGAAGTGCCTAACATATTCAATATTGTGTCACCTGCAGGGTACACACAGATGAAACAAAGAACAGAACTTGTCTTCAAGGAACTCACAATGTAATGGGAGAGGTGATAAGACACACACTTAGCATTACGGTGTGAGAAGGGTCCAAACAAATGTTATGAGAAATCTGAGGGTTAACTACTTTTGTAAAAGCTGTATTAGTTCCAGAAGTGCTACCTCAGTAAACAGCCATAGCCAGGCAATTCAAAGCACTCTGCATTTTGTTTTATGCCTTAAAAAGCTGAGAGGTATGTAGTTGGGTGACTGTAAAATTACATATCTAGTTGAATGTAACAACAGTATTTACTTAAGTTGAGTCTACTGAGCTATAGAGAAGTTTCGAGGGAAGCATGCTGTTTCTTATGTCCTTTGACATTTCCTTTCCACATTAACTCATTCAAAGGTTCAAGTATATAACTAGGATTCTAAGGCATTTAATTTGTACTCATGGTTCTATCAACGATTGTTGGGAGACAGCAAATAGGAAACCTATCACCTTTATACAAATGGATTAGGGGTATTTAATAAACTCCCAGGTGTGTTCTATGAAGATCAGTGAGTTCACATTTAAAGGCTCTACTAATATAATGTGATGATTCACATTTAGCTATTTCATTTATAAAGATACAAAATTTTAATTAACATCCATGCTTATTGATCATTGGTATTCATACAGCATCAATGAACTAATCTATCAATAAATGTTAAGCCTCCGCTATTATTTACAGGTCTACTTGACACTATGAGGGAATACACAGGCAGCAACTCCAAGGTTCCTGCCCTCAAGAAGTTTACAGTTAGGAAAAGAAAACTAACACGTGAGAATAAGGAGGGGAGAGAGCAATGATAAACATATAGCACCATTTGTGCAGCAGGTATTCAAAACAAATTATCACTAAAGCAAACTTATGTTTCAGGGAAAAGATAAGACTTAAACTAAGCTTGACTTAGATAAGTAGAGGGTAAGAAAGAGGATATTTCAAGCAATAGCGGAGGGAAAAAGATATGGAGGCAGGCATGTACCTAGTGTGTAGGAGAGATAGGGGAAGTTCAGAGGGGGTACGGGTTGGGGAGCTATGGGAAATGCAGGCATGTATAGATAAGGTGAGACCAGATCATGCAGAATCTTGAATGCAATGCAAAGGAGTCTGGATCTGATGCAATAAGAAATAAAACCAGTGAAGGTTTTTGTGCAGGATTTTAGGAGTGTCTGTGGGTAGAGGGGATAAGAGGAGATAAAATCCTTGTAATCAAGCAGGTAAGATAGGCGCCTGATGCGGTTAACCAAATGTGAGGTAACGAAGGCCTAGACTAGATTAGTATCTATGGAAACAGAGAGGAAAAAACCAAGTTATCATAATTGTAAAGTTAGACTATTGAAAACTAAAAGTTCATTTTACTCCTGTGTTCAACATTTTGACTTCTGTTGACCTTTCTACCATTCCTGAATTTTCTCTTTTCTTCTGGGAAATTTTCATTAATCTCTCTGGGTAAAATGACATTCTCCATGTGGTCATTCTTGTTTTTCTGGTTCCTTCCAGACTCTTCCCCTTTCCATATTTCTAGTCCCTACCTTTATCAAATAACACTGTTCCCTTCTTTCAGTCTCCCTTTCACCACCTAGTCTTTCTCCAACTTTTCCTTTCCTTTTTTTCCCATGTACTACCTTCTCTTTTTAGCTCTCTCCTTTACAGAATCATAAAATCTCAGGGCTAGAAGGGATCTCAGAAGCCACCAAGTCCAATAAGATTCTGAACAATGTGCTTTATAAAATGCTGACAAATGTTGCCCTAATAGTTGGTGGAAGACCTCTATTGAAGGAGCCCACTTACACATATGTAAAGCTCTAGTCTAAGAGATAGTTATTCCTGGCATTAATCTTCAATTTGTACCTTCTACCCATCACAAGTAGTTTTCACCCTAGAGACAAGCAGAGAAGACTTATTCCTCTTATACATGACAGCACATTAGTCACTTGAAAAAAGCCATCATCTACCTCCTGAGCCTTCTTTTCAACAATATATCCCTAATATATCTTCATTGTGTACATGTTCAAGGTCTTTCATCATCTTGGTTACTGTCTTCTAGACTCTATCCAGATTATTGATGTTCTTCTAAAATGTGATATCCAACCAAGAGTACTGCTCTAGATCTGGTCTGACCACAACAAATAAGACTATTGCCCTTCTGGTGCTAAACACTCTTCATGCAGTGATTGCATTCACTTTTTTGGCTATAACCACACTATGCTGATTCATAGTGAACCTGCAGTTCACTAGAACATCCAGAACCTTTTAAGATAAACTGCTGCCTAATCATGCTTTCCCCATCTTGTATTTATGATTGTGGGGTTTTTTTTAAATCTAAGTGCAATACTTTTACATTCATTCCCATTAAATTTCATCTTTTTTGATTCAATACAATATTGCTGCATCTCCGATCTTTCCTGATATGGACTTTGTCCACCAGAGTGTTAGCAATCTCTTCCCAACTTTTTCATCTGCAAATCTGACTAACGTGTCCCCTATGCCTTTATCTATGTCACTGATAAAACTATCAATCAGCACAAGGCCAAGCACAAGTCTCAGGAACTCTCCATTACATACCACCTTACAAAATAACAGCAAACTATTCATGACATTGGATCTGGCATTCAGACAGCTCTAAACGCAACTAATCATTTTTTTTCAGAATAACATTAGATATTTTATCAAGAAAATTTATCAAATTCAGGTAAACTACAGCATTTCCCTGATCTACTAAATTATAAAATCTGTCAAAAAGGAAATAATATTACTTTGGCATGACCTATTCTTAATGACACCAATTTGGTTCTTGGAGATCACCGCTTTCTTTTCAGGATGATCATTAACATTTAAGGAAGGATATCTACTAGGCAGACAGTGTCCAAGTAAGTGCAAACAGAATGATGAAGAGCTTCAAGCTCATCCCTCATGAAGACGAGTGAAGGGCCTCGGGACATTCAGTCGAGAGACGAGAAGACTCAGAGGAGCAGGGAGAGAGGAACATGAGAGCTGTCTTTAGGTGTGTTAAGGGCTGTTACACAGAAGAGGGACTGAACAATCTTCTCTTTGACCACAAGGTCCTCAGACCACCCTTTGGGAACCACCATTTTAGGAGAAGATTTTTCAAACATTTTCCAAATGAAATTCTCAAGTCTGCATAGCTCTAAGCTATGCTGCTTCAAATCTTTGTGATCAACTGAAATGAACTTCAGGCACTCTGACTATGTGAATACATGCATACAAAGATACCTGTGGGTCAACCAAATGTCAGTCAGTTAACAAGCATATATTAAGCACCTACTGCATGTCAGTCACTGTCCTAAGTGCTACAGATACAAAGAAGAGATCCCCAGACCACCAAAAAACAACCCAAAAATGATGCCTGCTCTCCAGGAACTCACTGTCTAATAGTAAGTATAATTTCTTTCCTGGTTTCCAAAGGTGCTGGCACTCTAAATTCCTTTTTTATTATGCTGTAGGTAGTACTTGTTTCTTTCCTAGTATCTAAGATTCTCTTAGCTGTTCATACTACTGGCACCAACTACATTCCAAAGATATTTTCTCTTCCAGTTACTTTTTAGTTTTACCACTACAATGAAATGAAGTTTCAAACTCTAAAAGTACAGATTTTCCCAGGTAGATTTTTTTTAATCAACTCAACTTTCCTATTAGGAACCACTGTTTCACAACTTTAAAATCATGACAACAATAACCATCAATAATAATAAATGCATTTATATAGCAATTTAAGGTTTGCAAAGCACTTTAGAAATATTTCATCTTATCTTCAACAACCCTGGGAAGTAGGTACTATTATTATCCCCATTTTAGAGGTGAGAACACTGAGGCAGACAGGGGTTAAATGTCTTGCCCAGGGTCACACAAGCTCATAAATGTTTAAAGTTAAATGTGACCTCAGGCTTTCCTGACTCCAGATCTACTGCTCTATCCACTATTCCAACTAGCTGTCTCTACTAGAAATAAATTTCTACTAAATATTTAAAACAAAAGTAAACCAATCAAATTTTGTTGCAAATGGTCTAAAATATAGCTAGCAAGTGAGAAACTCTTTCTGTGAGGTACACAATTAAGCAACATGACATGCAGTTTTAGTTCTGATCACTAGACGAATGCAAACAAGCACATCTAGCCTCAGACACTCCCTAATGAGTGACCCTGTACAAGTCACTTACCTTCTCCCAGCCTCAATTTCCTCCTCTGTAAAATGGATACAAAAAATAGCACCTATTTCATATGGTTTTCTAAGGATCAAATGAGACAACACATGAAGTGTTTAAAACTTTTAAAAACTCTATAAATGCTAGGGTATAATAACTACTATATTACCCTCAGAGAGCAAAGAATGAATTAAGTGTTATACTACTCCAAGAGAAAGATAAAGCCACACAAACTTCAAATATCAAGGATAACGAAGTTAAGAAGATTAATGAACTAGAAAACAGGAAAGATGGTATAATGAGTATATCTTCAAGTTAGAAAGCAATGAGTTCTGTTCTAAAGTCCTGAAGTTGTAATAAAATTAAGTAAATAGCATATTACAATAATTAAGTTTCAAAACTCAAGAAATGAGATGAATATTTCATCATATGCATGATGAAACTTCATTTTCCACAACAGCATATTTCAGAAAACATTACAAGAAAATGTATAATTATCACTCAAATGAAGTTCAAAGAAAGAACTAAATATTAAATGTGAAATTTCTTGCCAAGCATATTAATATTATAACTGTCTTAAATTTGTGAGAATTCAATTAAAAATATCCAGCATGGTAGGTTCCATCTATAGCACATTAACATAGTAAAGTATATAGATTTTTTTCAAAAGCAGTAACATTAGAAATGAAGAAAGATAATTAAGGAGATGCTATCTTAACAAAGCTGCAAGAAAGAACATAGGAAAAGCTCAAAGCGTAGCAAAAGACAGGAATCATACCTGTCGGTAGAGGTATATAAATTCTTTTTTCTAGTCTCCTTCGCAAAGCTTCATCAATGTCCCACGGGAAGTTGGTAGCAGCCAACACCATAACTATTTTAGAAGGGTCATCATTTTCTAAAGCTCCTCCAACCCCTGTTGTATTTTTTTTAAAAGAAAAGTTTTTAAAATTTTAGTAACCTAGCAAAAAATAAAATAGTATGCTTTATTCTGTCCTTTATCATTTGTATTGTAAACTACACTAGGATAGGATTCCACTGCACATGGAGCAGAAGCAGGACTACTGCTTACATCAGCTACTGATAATTAATAAAGATGCAACTTGTTATCATAAGACTCATATTGGAAGAAAAATGAAGTATCATTTATATTTTCTCCACAGTAAATGTTAACCAGAAGAAAAGAGGTAGGGAGTGGAGAGTGATCAACAAGGGAGATGTTCTAAATGTTTCTATTTCTTCTTCTTTCTTTTCTTTTTTTTCCCTCCAGGAAACTCTTTAAATTTCTTATGAATTCCAAAACCTTAACATGTTAAAAATGAACCTAGTGGTTATTCATTAATTGAACCATTATGTCATTTTCTGGCAAGGTTAGACTAATTGTATGCTTATGGCATTTGATTTTCAGGAATAAGATTTTTTTTTAACAAAACAGCTTTAGTACCAGCAATACTACTCAAAAAATGCACAATCAAAACTCAAAATAACTATGTGTTATCAAGCTTCTACATCCCTGGAAACTACAAATAGTCAAATAGCACAATAGGGTTTTTTTAATTCCCCATTCAACAATTCACCTGCTCAATAAAAGACTAAATCAATTTACAGCTGGTGATTTTTTTTTTAAATCAAAAAGCTTCCAATGTGGTTTGGGCTCTACCACTGCACCATCTGTTACCAGCATGAAACATGCCAGGGCAAATGAGAAAGCAGCTGTATTGATTTTTAAGAAAAATATATCCTGGGTCTCTACTTCCTTCAACATCTGAACAAAGAGGAAATTAGTAAGCTTTTTGTGGACAAGGATCAAGTCTTAAACTTCTGTATACTTTATAGTGCCCAATACTGCAAAGCACACAGAGAACATATAAATAGTACCTGCTTGTATAGTTGTTTAACAAAGCTCTTTGGATAGTATTTCAACAAAAGAATAAAAATAAAAGCTGCCTTCAATATAAAACCTAACTAGGCTTAAGGAAACACTTAAATATTAATTACCATCCATCTGAATGAGTAGTTCAGACTTGACTCTTCGACTTGCCTCATGTTCATCAGAAGTGCCTCTGCGGCTACAGATGGAATCAATCTCATCAATGAAGATTGTTGTAGGAGCATAAAACCTTGCCTTTGAAAAAATAGTTTTAAAATTGTTGTAGAAAGAACAGATGAAATATTTTAGAAAAGTTAAAAATTGGAAAGAGGCAGGAAAGGTTCAGAAACAGCTATTTCATAGCCCTTTAGTTGTTTGAGAAGATGGATTAGATACATTCCCTATTGTAATGCTTTTAATGTTATACTGCATAGTATGCACTAGTTATTAACACTGGGAAATGACAATTTCTGAAATTAAAGTTACATTGTAAATCTTTAAAATAAAACATAATTTAATTTTAAAAGGTGTTTTTCAAATTTTTTGTTAGCTAAAAATGATCAATGTTATAAATTTTTATTTGGTTTTATGAATTTAAAAAATTATTGTTCTGATCATGGAAAAGAATCACACATTTAAAGCTGAAAGAGACCTTAAAGGTAATCGAGTTCAACCCCTTCATTTTACAAATTAGAAAATTGAAGACCACAGCATTATTAAGTGACTTGCCTAGGATCACAAAACCAATAAGAGTCTGAAGCAGAATTTAAACCCAGGTCTTGTGAACTTCAAGTGTGGCTCCTCATCCACTAAGTCTCCAACAACAACATCCCTAAAGCAGCAAAGGCAAAAAATTGCAGTCATCCATCTACCAGACAAATAACAAGAGCTCTTCTCTAGCCTGCACTGCATGAGAGAGCAGGGGAAAGAGCCCTTGTCGGAAGAGTCAGAAAGAACTGTGTCCAAAGACTACTCCTACCATTTACTTCCTGGGCATGAACCTGAACTGTCTGAGTCCCAGTTTCTTCAGCTATAAAATGGAGACTATACCTACCCGAGGTCCCTCACGGTGTTGTTGTGGACATCAAAAGGCACAGGAGATGTGAAAGCATTTTTTACACTGTAAAATGTTATATAAATGTAAAGTGGTGGTTGGGTTTTTTGTTTGGTATCATCAAAAGCTTTCTTTTAAGATAGAATATGAAGGCATAATACATTCCCCTCCACCTCAAACACAATCATTCCAGGGTTTTAAGCGTTAAAATATGACTTCATTTGACATGTTTTAAAATTATCAATATTAGTGATTCACTATGAAGATTCATCTATGAAGAAGTCGGGGGAGGGGGACACACAAATTTTAGGAAGAATGAAATTAAATGAAATTTAAAAACTGGCTATCATTCTCTGCAATGTAAATGACACAAATTTGAAAATATCACTCTGTACTCACCATTTCAAACAACAGGCGGACCAACTTCTCAGATTCACCCCTATATTTAGATGTCAAAGTAGAGGAGGAAACATTGAAGAATGTTGTGCCACATTCAGTTGCAACAGCTTTTGCAAGCATAGTTTTACCAGTGCCAGGGGGTCCAACCATCAACACACCCTAAAATTCCACAAGAAATATTACTATTTATCACACCATAAAATGCTTGATCACAGTACTGCCAAGAATTAATTTATCTTACACAATTTTTCACTAAAAGATTAAATTCAATCTTCACAGAATAATAATAGGTAGGCACAGTGGATGCATGGAGTGCTAGGTATGGAGGAAGACTCCTCTTCCCAAGTTCAAATCCAGCCTCAGACATTTACTGGCTATGTGACCCTGGGCACATCACTTAACCCTGTATCCCTTGGTTTTCTCATCTATAAAATCCGTTGGAGAAGGAAATGGCAAACCACTCCATTATCTTTGCCAAGAAAACCTCAAATGGATACATGAAGAGTCGGAAATGACTGAACAACAAAAATAACCTTTTATTCTTGAGTGCTACTTATGAATGATTATTGTTTAATAATTTAATGAAAATAATCAGACCATTTCAATAACATTTCAGATTTATGCACTTTTCACTAATATGTTAAGTATCTATCCCTTTTAGAAGAAAGAAAACATACTGTCCACAAAAATGTTCATACTACATACAGCTTCTATTAAAATACAAACTCTTTAAGAATTTAGAAGGCATCAGTAACGGAAAATTATGCTGTATTTCAAACACAATGAAATTAATTTTAATTTGATTACAATATAATATGCTAGTAAATCAGTAACTTACATGAAATACTACTAGCAATGAAAGAGCTATTGAATATGATCTCTGCTGTAAACATCACTTCAGTTATTCCTTACCTTTGAAATTAACAGGTAAAGCTATCTATTGAAACAAAACACTGGGAATATCACTGTTCAAAATTTTTGTTTTCTCCAGCTTTTCAAATGACAGCTTACTGATTCTTTAATTTGATGTTAATGTTCTTATTTCTGTCAGACACTTCTTTATGTGGAATTAGATATATGTTTATTGTAAGATCTGACATGTAAAATTTCAGGGATTTCCAATAAGGAATTTATACTTTTTTTTTGTTTACTACCTAATTTCTTTCAATATAGTTTGGATTATGCTTGAAAGTCATATCAAGGTCAAATTCCATTCCAGTCAATTTAAGCGGGTATTCAAATTTTCCCTTCCTATAATGGAATTTGGTTGAATTGATTGCTGCTGTAATTCTTGACCATTACCTAAGGCTTGGAAATACTAGTTTTCATATAAAGATTTCTTTTACAATGGAGGCAGTGTGATTTATTAGATAAGATTTGAACTAGCTGTGTGACCCTGGGCAAATCACTTAACCCCAACTGCCAAAAAAAAAAAAAGGTTTGAAATTAGGGGAAAACTGGGTTTAAACTCCATCTCTGATCTGAACAGTGTGATTCTGGGCAAACAGCTTAGGTTATCTGAATGTCAGTTTCCTCAATGATGGGTAATGCCTAACTCAAAAGGCTGTGTGAAGATCAAATAGGATTACAAATGTACAGTACTTTGACAAATTTAAAACACTTTATGAATGTCAGCTATATTATAAATACTATTTATACACAAAAGATAAGTGATTAAGGATTTCCTAATTCTGAATACTAATAATGTACTGTACAGACACAAATAATTAAGGTCATATGCAGTCAATGCAACAAATATACAATATATATTTCCACAACTCTCCCTTTTCAAAGTCATGTCAGTTGGGATTTTTTTTGTCATTTAAGTAGTATTTTTAATTACGAACTTGACAAATATGAACATTTCAATATATAACCCCTTCCAGTTCTTTCTATTATTACACATCAGGAAGAGAACCTACAGAAGTGGCTAATTTATCTTTTTAACCTGTAAAAATTTGGTCCCTAGCAAAGAATTAGAAATTGAGGGGATGCCCATCAATTGGGGAATGACTGAACAAGTTGTGGTATGAGATTATGATGGAATATTATTGTACTATAAGAAATAATGAGCAGGATGCTCTCAGAAAAACCTGAAAAGACCTGCATGGGCTGATGCAAAGTGAAATGTACTGTGTACAAAGTAACAGCAATATTGTAAGATGATCAGCTGTGAAAGACTTAGCTATTCTCAGCAATACAACAATCCAAGACAACTCTGAAGGACTTATGATGAAAAATGCTACCCATTCCTAGTCTGTATCCAAATACAGACTGAAACATACTTTTTTTTTAACTTTATTTTTCTTCAGGTTTTTTTTTTGGTCTATGTTTTCTTTTACAACATCACTATTATGGATATGCTTTGCATGACTTCACCTGTATAACTGAATTGCTTGCCTTTTCAAAGCGTTGAACTTCATCAATTATTATTATCAATTTATCAATTATTATTTGGAACCCTTCACCAGTTATGCAAATTTAAATTAACATATTCCTAGGACCTAAAAGAAAATCAAGATGGACCTAAGAAGAAACAAGGAGAGCTTTCTATTAGCTAAAAGGATGTAGTCACTTCAAATATAATTACTCTATCTATTTAGACAATTCTCCAATCTACCTATTTTGACCTGACCCTATCATCTGAGTTCCACTCCCACATTTCCAACAGCCTGCCAGGCAGGCTGTCAACAATCCATTCTCCTACTCAAATACAACATACAAAAACACAAATTCATCATGCTCCCAATCTGGACCCCTTCCAGGCCTCAAATCAGTCCTCCTCTTGAGTCTCCAGTTTCTATTAATGGTATCATGAGTTTTCCAGTCTTCCATGCTTGAATCCAGCAAGGAAGGAAGGACAACGATTGACTTAAATAAGTTTGATATAATTCGTAATTTCTGGGTATCTAAATTTTCTTTACATAATACTTATACAAAATTGCATTTCTTTCCCTTTCCACTAATGCTATTTGCTAACAAATATTAAGAAGCACCGTAGGAAACAAATATTTTGACAAAGTCACTACAGGGTTTTATTATGTTATTGTAACCTTGATTTGGGAAGTAGTGAAAAACAGGGAAACTACTGATTTATTGGCAAAAAAAAAACCTATTCAGAAAACAAGTGTCTTAACCTCTTGGAGGTTCGATAACTATGATAAATTTATAATTATAATTATCTGTGATAAGTCACATTCTATGTGTCCACTTTGAAAGCAGAGACAGCTGATGACAGCTAAGGAATTATATCTTCTGAGAGTTTCAGAAGGAAGGACATAATCATAATTCTCAAGTAGCACACCCATAATTATGACAAGTGACCCCCAAAATAACTAAATATAAATCCCAAATCAAAAACTAGATAACTGACTACAAAAGCCATCCTCATTCATTTTTTCTTTTTACATGTAAAACCAGAAAAAAAATTTTTAATTATTTTCTGAGATTGCTTCTTCTATATCATGCCAATAAAATAACCATTAAGCTATAGTAGCTGCCCAAAAATAGTAAAACGTTTTCTATTTTTTATTTCAAATTAATTAACCTCAACAGCTCTAGGAAAACAAGACAAATCTGAATATCATGGACTACATGGTCCCTCTGAGGAATAACAGATGGTCTACAATGCTTTCCTATTATCTTGTAGCTAAATGAAAAAGTAGAGAATGGTATATGAAAGAAAATGGAAATCTACTCGACTATAAGTGGTTTGAAGCAAGTCAAATCAACAGGCATTTATTAATTGCCTACTATGTGCCAGGCCCTGTTCAAAGTACAAGGGATTTTTTAAAAAGGGAAAAAAATAGTTCTTGTCCTTAGGGAAAGATAATCTTATACACTCAGGTATCAAGGTAGATAGCATACATGTGGCTTCTTCTGTTTTAACCATGTAAGGACAGAAGAGGAAGTCAAGGAGAACAGCTGAAAAAATAACTTGGCAGAAAATAATGTCTTTTTATTTAGTTCAAAACAGACTATGTGAATAAACAGACTGCCTGTGGCTCAAAGAAAAGCCTCAAGCAACTGTGAAAAACTCAAAGGGCTCTTGAAGCCAAGATGACTTGAAGTCCTGAGAGAAGATTCTTCAAGATAACTTCAAGATAGATTCAAGACTAGTTAGAAAGAAATGGAGGAGAATGTAGCCACTTCAGGGGTGACAGCTTAGGGAAAAAAAAAACTGAGAGGTTGAGGGATTAGAGGTCAAGGAGAGGATGAAGAACGAGGGTAGAGGATGCAAAGGCAGAGGAAAAGGTGAAACAACAATAGTGGTCATATAAGGGAATTCCATAGTTCATGAACATGGAAAATGGGAAATAAAGTGAGGAACTAGGAAGTGAAGGTGTTAGAAAGAGTATCAAAATATATGTTGAAGTCTCCTAGGATGAGGGCAGGAATTAGGGAGGAGAGGAAGACCATGAGCCAGGCACTGAACTCACTGAGGAAAAAAGGAGAGTGTCCTAGCGTTTGGTAGATAGCAGCTATCAGAATCTTGAGTGGATGGCCAATAAAGTTGTGTCATTAGGAAGGAGCTAGGTCTCAATGAGTGCAAAAAGTTGAAAGGCGTGAAAAAGGAAAAGGTTCAGGATGCAAGTAAGTTTGTTACCTATGGAACAGACACTCCAAAGAAAACAATGGAAGAGATGGGTTGATTTAGAGTGCAAGAATGGTGTCTGAACAATGACAGCTGGAGGCTCCCTGGGGGATGGTAAGGGTATGAAGGGGTTCTAGTTCGTTAAACATTAAGGAATGAGTTCAAGTAGGTTGTCATCATCCCTTGAGGTTCAGCCTCAGTACAGTGTCTTCCTAAGAAATCAGGCAGCAGAATGTACCTAGAAATCTTAGTTGGGGGGGGGGGGACGAGCAAAGTTCAAGTAAGGGATTGGTAAGGGTGGAGTAAAAACAGAGTGTAGGAGGTACCGGGAAAGTGCACAAAGGAATGGTGGGCCCAGAACAGCAAGAATATTAGTAAGTTCCCTTCCTTCCCTAGCAAGAATTTCCCTCCTTATCCACTAGGTTTGGGTGAGGGACTAGTGGAGGTGGAATCGCAGGAAATCAAAGAAGGTGCCAAGAGGAAACCAGATGAAAAGTTACTCCAAATCACTAACTATATGATAAATGACAAAATCAATTTAGAGGCTTCATCTCACATTCAGCAAATTGGAAAGACTGACAAAAGACAGGAATAGTGAATGTTGGAGGGGCTATAGAAAGACAAGAATAGAAATACATTGTTGGTGGTACTGTGAATTGGTCCCTCATTCTAGAACACAATTTGAAATTATGCTTTAAAAAGTGACCAAATTGTTCACAGCCTTTGACTCAGAGATCCCACTGCTAAGCATATACTCCAAGGAAATCAAAGACAGAAAGGACCCATGTATACAGTAAGATGCATTACATCTGTGGCAACAAACAACTGGAAATAAAGTAGGTACTGCTATTGGACAATGGCTGAACAAATTGTGATACATGAATATAATGGCATATTCATGTACTATAAGAGATTAGGAACCTAAAAAACAGAAAAGCATGGGAAGACATATTAAGTGATGCACAGTGAAATAACAGAAATAATACAATGATTACAAGAATTTAAATGGAAAGAACAAAAACCCTGAAACTGAACTATGTATACATATAACAACTAAGCCTGGTCCCAGAAAAAGGTTTCATAAATGCATCACCCTCTTTTCTTTGCAGTAGTAAGAGACTAGGGTTGTGGAAGCCTGCATATGCGCTTAAATAGTTCACGGGCTGGTTTTGCTGAACTTTCTTTTTCACTTTTTGTTACTAGAAGTGTTTCACTGGGTAGGGAAAGTAAAGAGAGGTGAGAGAAATATACTTGGAAATGAGGATGCTAGCCTCCACTATCCCTATTCTCCTTCCGTTTTAATCACTCCTTTCCTGAACAAACTCGTCTGTATCTCTCTATCCTTAAAAAACCTCTCACTTGATCCTTTGAGGCCACCCAGTTATTGTCCTATCATATCTTCATCCCCTTTGTGACTAAACTCCTTAAGAAAGCTGTCTACACAACTCCAAAAGACTCACGATGGAAAATGCTATCCACATCCAGAGAAAGAACTTTGGAGTCTGAATGCAGATGGAAGCATACTATTTGCTCTCCTTTTCTTTTGCTGTTTTATCTCTTCTTTCTCATGGTTCCTCCCCTTAGTTCTAATTCTTCTTCACATCATGACTAGTGTGAAAATACATTTAATATGAATGTATAAGTAAAGCCTATATCAAATTGCATGCCATCTTAGGGAAGGCAGAGGAGAGGGAGAAGGAGAAAATTTAAAACTCAAAATGTTATGGAAGTAAAAGTTGAAAACTAAAAATTAATTAATTATAGAAAAAGAAAACTGTCTACATTAAGTGACTCCACTTCCTTTCCCTATATATATAATATATATTGTGTGTGTGTGTGTGTATGTATATATATATATATATACATATATATATATATATATATATATATATACACACAGAGAGAGAGAGAGAGAATTTTACTTCTTTATAAATGGTTTTCTCTATAATCCTATGTATTTTATTTTATGCATTTAAAAACATTCTGGGAAAGGATGCATAGGCTTTACTAGACTGCCAAAAGGCTTCATGACACAAAACTGGAACTGTTCTCTGCAAAGTTACCCATGATTTCTTAACTGCAAAATCAAACGGCCTTTTCTCAGTCCTCAGCCTTCTTGACCTTTCTGCAGCATTTAATACTAATGATCACCCTCTCCTCTTGAATACTCTCTCCTCTCTGGATTTTCATGATACTGCTCTCTCTGGTTCTCCTTCTGTCTGACTACTTATCAGCCTCATTTGATGGCTAGGGAAAGAAGGGAACTTCCTGATATCCTTGCCTTTCTGCGCTCACTATTCCATCATGCTGCCTCTCAATACCCACATCATACCCATTAACCACTGGTACCCACATGAAAAGAGCATTACTTGAATTCTCTCACCTTCCAAGGCCGTCTTATTCCTTTGAAAAAGTCAGGCATCCACATTGGGAGAACAACAGCCTCCCTTAATAATTTTTTTGCTTCTTCTAAATCAGCTATGTCATCCCTTTGCAAAAAAAAAATAGAAGGATTTTACAAAACATTTACACCTGTTTTCGCTTTCACAGTTAACACCAGCCCACTTTTAAATTCTATTGCCTACACTAATTTTTAGTGGAAGAACAATGAAAAGATTTTATAGCTAAAGTCAAAAATTATTTAATAAAACACTGTCATCAGTATTAAAGTAATATTTTAAATTGTATTGATTAGAGTTATATGTACTACAAAAAGTATTTATAAAGGTACATTCTATTTGTTATGGATGAATTTATAATCTGAAACCTATTAAACTTATGAACATTTTTTCTTACAAATGTCGAAGTCATAGCAAATCATCCATATATAAAAAAAGCTTACAATAGGTAAAAATACTCATACCAATGAATGCTAGGATTTCTGGATACTATGTCCCTTTCAAGAGCTTCAACTAGGTCTTTATCATATCCAGCACCATCAAACTTTTGAATTTCCCCATCACCTGCACCATCTGGCAGATTCTTCCTTCCCTACGTACATAAAGAAAAAAATTTAAATAAAATCAACAATTAAGAATTAAATAACCATAATACTGAACAAAATAACATAATACTGAAACATAACCTATTGAACCCAATTTCTATCACATTATGGTAACTCATGCTCAACTTCCAAACAGTCCTGATAAATTAATTCAAGAAAAACAGAAAAACCTACTCAATCTTTTTAAGGACTTCTTCAGCCTCATATTTTTGGAGGTCATCTGCTTCTAGAGTTAAGAGGTTCCCTCCATCATTCCAGAGGTCTTTAGAAGCCTAGCTCTGGCTTTATTGGAGCATGAGATTTTCATCACACTCATAGTTGTGAATGAACTATGAACATATTCTGTATCAATTTTATCATGGAGAAGGCTGTCCAAATTTTAAAGAACCAGTTAAAAAATTTATGAGCTGGCTGCTGCATATTGAAGAGAGTGGCCTTATATCTGCCCCATATACCACCATCCCCAGTGTTAAGGGGTCCCCTGAACTTGTCTTTTTGAGTTGCCATATTTTCCAGAAACACTGGACCCAGAATATGCAGGAGGCCCTGACCGTGTCAAGGACGAAGCCCCATCCCCTCCCCGACCTGACGTAATTTGTTGTTTGCACCCCAAGCTGGAATCTCTGTCCTTGGGAGTCAAGACATGCACCAGTCAGTCTACACTAGGCTAGGAAAGTGCTTGTGCAGCTGGGACCTTTGAAGATAAGCAGACCATCATACCTTCATAGGCTAGCAGTTCCCAAGGGAAAAGAATGCTGCTTTTGCTATCTTAATTATTCATGATTTCTCTTCCCCCACCCCTCCCATTTAGGCGGAGATTTCTGTTTCTCCTCTTCTCCTTGTAGCAATTTCACAAATATGCAAGCTTCTGTTTGGATTGTGAACTCTTTGCCCTGGCTTAGGGCTCCACATGCATGTTTATTTCTCTTGTAATAAATCTAGTTGCAATGCAATGTCTCATGGATTTGTGATACTGTTTTTGGTTAACACCAGAAAGGGGCCACAAGCTCCTAGAACCTAGAAAATGACCTCAACAATCAGGGTAATGAATGTCTTGAGCCATGTCAAAAAGCCACCACACTGTTCCTATGGAATTATGTTATCAAAATCGCTTTTTCTAAAGTTAAGTAGAAACAAAATGACATACCAAATTTTTTATTCAATAAATGATTTTTTTTTAATTACATACTATATGCCCAATTTTACTGTATTCTATAAGATTTAATAAAGTCCATGAAAGAGTTTAAAAGTATTGTATTAAATTCCCAAAGACAGCTCAAAATGTGGAACCTTTTCAGTAGGCAGAACCAAGTGCCTCCCTGGGACTTCAGTTCTTTGCTTATTTTTAATATTAAAAGGAAAGAAAATATTCAAAGGGACTCAACCCCACAAAGTTTCAATTCTTAGCAGAAAAAGAATAGGACAGTGTGAGCCTACTCCACAAGTACATCTTCTGAGATAAACAACAGATCTGATCCTAATTGGTAAGAAGGGAATAAACTGTTCCTTTGGGAGAAATACTTCAGCTTTTTTTTCCGAGCCACTAGGGTTTGATTTAGTAAATGACCTCTGCCACCACTAAACAGTACCTTGGAGGCTGGAATCCAAAAGTGAGCAATTTACTGTTTCTCTGAAGTAATGCAATAGAATCAGGTCCAACTTTCAACAAGTTTCTTGTCTCCAAAGGTGACATGTCAACAATAACAAAGAGTTAAAGACATTTCAGCTATGTGCCCAAAAGGCAATCAAACTGTGCACACCCTTTGATTCAGCAATACCACTACTAGGTCTGTATCCCAAAGAGATCATTAAAAAGGGGAAATGCACAAAAATATTTATAGCAGCTCTTTTTGTGGTGGCAAAGAATTGGAAACTGAGAGGATGCCCATCAACTGGGGAATGACTGAGCAAGTTGTAGTATATGAACATAATGGAATACTATTGTGCTATAAGAAATGATGAGCAGGTGGATTTCAGAAAAACCTAGAAAGACTTACATGAATTGATGCTGAGTGAAGTGAGCAGAACCAAAACACTGTACAGTAACAGTAACTGTGCAATGACTAACTTTGATAGACTTAACTCTTCTCAGCAATGCAAGGATCTAAGAAATCTCCAAAAGTCTCACAATGCAAAATGCTATTCACATCCAGAGAAAGAACTATGGGGTCTGAAAGCATACTATTTTCACTTTTTTTGTTGTTGTTTTCTGTGGTTTTTTTCTTTTGTTGTTTCTTCTTTCACAATATGACTAATGTGGAAATATGTTTCCATGACTGTACATGTATAATCTACATCAGATTGCTTGCCATCTTGGGGTGGGGGGAGGGAAGAAAGGGAGGGAGCGAAATATAGAACTCAAAATCTTATAAAAATGAATGTTGAAAACTATCTTTACATGCAATTGGAAAAAAAATAAAATACTATTTTGAAAAGATATTTCAGGTATGTTTGTGTACCAAATATGTCTAGATGCTCTCTGAAATCAGATTTTGTAGTAATGATAATCAGTACAAAGTTATACTACAGAGTCACACTGAAGCAAAGACTCAAAGGATACTCTATAACAATTTTAAAATTCTTTTGGAAAAGGAGCCAATGAGGAACGGCAATAGAAACTGACACAACTTGAACTTAGGGAGCCCAAGTACATCTAGTATAATAACCTTAGATTTTCAAGAGCTAAACAATGGGAAATATAGTCATAGAGGGAGGAATGGAGGAAAAAGGAATAGCCTAAGGGAGGAGGAAGGGAAAGTCAGATAAGGGAGGGGGAAGGGAGAGAAATGGGGGATAGATGTCACAGCTGGAAAGAAACGAATAAGGGAAAGGACAAAAGAAACTTATTTGTCTTTTGTTATCAAAATTGATTCAATTTTGTTCTGAATAGGAAGGCCCCAAACCCTGTCAAACTTTTCACTGTAACTAAGTCCTCAGATAGCATTCCTTCATCTTCAAAAAAGGAAACACTATTATCTCAAAACTACAAACCTTTTAGTCAGGTGGACATTCCTTCAAAACTCTATCAACAGATTTCTTCTCAGCAAATTGTAACTCTCAGCTCCTCCACTGAATAAGGAGCAAGAATGCTTTAAGAATAACCACTCTACTAATTATAGCTATAATTCCTTTAATCTCCCCAAGAAATCACGTTAAAAATACAAGATTTTCACAGCATTCGATGTTCTCAGCAGCTTTAAAAACAGAATATGAATCAAGTTGAATAATTCAATACAGATCCTTTCTTCAAAGTCCATCTCAACACAGCTACCAGCACTTTACAGTAGACAGAATTGTGTTTTGTCAGATGAAATTCCATTTGTAAATGGAGTAAAACTGGGCTATGGCACCACCTACCCTTCTTCTTTCTAACTGGCATTTAAATAACATGAGTCAGCCATTAGATGATTAAATGGAATCCTCTAGCCATAAACAATAGAAAGATAAGCATCCTTCTCTATGCTGATGAATACACTTTATCTCAAAGGAAGCAGCAACCTGCTGGCTAATTATTGCCAGCAAGAGCAGCTTAGTATATAGAGTCTAATAAAATGAAAATGCGTATACTTGGCAGACATTTGCCAATATTTAAATAGATATTACAAACAATCTCATATAATAGGTCAATTCATTAGGGGTACATATTGTGCTCCACTGGCGTGTGGTGGAGGTAGCTTATTAGTTATATATACCTCTAAAAACTTTTCAGGGCTATGTTTTCTCTTACATGCTTCATGGTGCAAGACTGCAGTCTCATCTGAGTCTTATTTGGAGTCAGCCTTCTTGACCTTTCTGCAGCATCTGATGCTTTTTGATCACCTTCCCTTCCTGGGCACTCTCTCCTCTCTTGGTTTTATGACACTACGCTCTCCTGCTTCTCCTTATATCTGTCTGACCACTCCTCGGTCTCCTTCCTGGCTCTTCATCAATGTCACACCCAGCCACCATGGAAATCACCTAAGGTTCTATCCAGACCTGTTCTCTTTTCCCTCTATACTATCTCAAGTGGTGATGCCATCAGCTCCCAAAGGTTCAATTACCATCTTTATGCAGATGATTTCCAGATCTAGACATCTAGCCCTAATGCCCCACCCCCCGTACTGTCTCATATCACCAACTGCCTTTTAGAAATCTCAAAGTGGATGTACTAGAGGCATCTCCTACCTGAAATGTCTAAAAGAGAACTCTTATCTTTTCCTCTAAACCAACCCTTTTCCCAACTTACCTATCACTGTCATGAACACCATTATTCTCATAGTTACCCAAGCCCACATCCCTAGTACTATCCTTGACTTCATTTGCTCTCTCTCTACGTATATAACGCACGGCTAAATATTGTTTCTAACTTCACAGCATCTCTCAGATCTGTCCCCTTCTCTCCGAGTTCAGGCTCTCGTAAGCTCTCTTTTGCATGGACTACTGCAAGAGTCTTCTTCATGTCTCCCTGCCTCAAGTCTCTCCTCACTCCAATATATCCTATACTTAAGTCTACTAAGAAAAAAATCAGAAATTTAATCAGAAGGCTATTTGAACATAGAAACTATCTGACCTAAACATCAATGCCAAAAGGAATGCAAATCAGAATAGATACTTGAAAGACTTCTACCAGTGATAAAATCTTGAGGGCAATTTAAGACTAAATGTATGAAATAAGGTCTTTCTAGGAATAGATAAAAAGACATGCCTAGTCTGTACATGTCCTAGAATGGCACTAATCTTCCACTCTTGGAAAAGATCTCCAATCTAGCCAAAAGAACTCCTCCAGTTTAAGCATACTTACCACTAAAAAATACTACTTTAGACAAACATGTATTCACAAATAACCACTTGAGGATAATCCAATGAAATATGGTCTTTAACGCTGAGTAGTTCAGGATCCTTCCAAACATAACTGTACATTATCAGTAAACTATACTATGAAATTTATTTTAAATCATATAGGAGTTTCAATCACCATATTATAATTGAAATGCCACCCATTTTACCATAAAATGTCAAAGATTTAATTAATCACAAAGCAATAAACAGCACAAAACCAACATGGGTACCATAAATAATCATTTTAATTTTTATATTTATAATACAGTATCATTTATTCCAAGAATCTAGTAATCATTTTTCCTTATGCCACCTACCATCTGATTTTTTCCTACAGTTTAACTATCTCAGAAAAGTAATAGAGTGTATTATTTCTAAGTATATTTCTCTACTGGCTTCCAAACATTAATTTAAAAAAATAATGAACACAAATCTCCCAGGAACATAAAAATAAAATAGATTCATAAGTGTTGTAAATGTAAATTGGCTGTATGGTTGGTTCTATGACACTAGGAGAAACCATAGATCAATACATGATGTAACTGAAGCTTTCTAGTTCATATACAAAAGCTGCTTAGAACAAGGAAATTTTACCCACTGAAAAATTGTACTGAAAGTAAGCTTGGACTTAGTCCCACAGTAGTAAATGATGATATTTGGTAACTCTCAAAATCTGAACTAATGGCTGGGCAGGAAAAGTTAATCATAATTGAGAGAAGCTTAAAATATCTGAGCTTCCAAGTGAATTTGGCTTTCTCTGTTCACATCAGCTTTTTAAGGTCCTTAGGGTCTGGAGTGGAAAACTTAATTTATTTTATTTTCACTTGTCCAAGGAATTTAAAGGGGTTTGCATATTCATACTTGGCTCAAGTTGGATGAAATTAAGGTGAAGACTGGAGGGCTCTAAAGCCAGTCTTGCTACAAGGCCTTCCCTTTTGCCCAAAACATGACTAGCAGAGGCAAGTCTAACTTTAGGCCCCTTTGTATTTTCCCAGCTGCAAAGGCCAGTTGTATGACCCCTAGAGAACATGGAGAAAAATTAGGTGGAACAAGGAAGTTATGTATATCTTTATTTATGAGACTTTTGCCTCAAAAGGGAGACATGGGCATAATAATAATAATACTAATCATTATCATGGAGTACAACAGATTGAACACAGTGTTTTACAAGCATATAAACAGTATTATTTCATTTATTTTCAGTATCCCAGTGAGGCACTGAAGCAAATTTTAGAATATTATTTTTATCAATATTGTTCCTAAAAATAACTTCAGACAAAAATGCTGTAGAAAAGGTGCTGACTTGCATTGTATAGAGGGAGCTTCCTCACCTGGACGTTCTCTAAACCAATGAAATCATTGGTCCAGTCCCTACCATTCTTCATATGTAAAAATATAAAATAAGAGCTTGAATACTGACCAGCAGGAGAAACAAACAATGAACAGATTTATGAATTAAGGTGTTATTTATACTTCAATTATGAAAGCTAGTTATTTGTTCATATAAATAAGCTATACTTTCTCTAGCAGTGTAGGCACATGGAAGTGACACTGATCCTGAATATTTACTATTATTAGCAAGCTAAGAAAATCAAGCATATCTGTGATGACTCAAATACATTATCATTTACTTATGGGTAACAAGGATTTAAATGGAGGCAGAATAGATGATGTCAGATATGCAGGAGGGTTTGGCTGAACTTGTTTTTTTATCTTTACTGCAAACAAGGAAAGACTTGCTGGCTAAGAGGGGGAAATAGTAGTATTTTTATGTACAGAATATATTAAGAAATGAACATGATATAAGACAATATACATCCATACAAGTAAAATTACAATTAAGGCAGAAAAAATAAGTCAATAATTCCTCTTGATAAGAAATGTAAAAAGGGATCATAACTGATGAATTTGCTAACACTTCTTGTCAATACATATATTAACCAACTTTGGTCTTTTGCCTCACTGTTAGCATTCATGAAAACTTTTGATGTATCAAAAATTCAGGAGCAGCTAGGTGGTGTAGTGGATAGAGTACCGGCCCTGAAGTCAGGAGGACATGAGTTCAAATCTGGACTCAGACACTTGACATTTAACTAGCTGTGTGACCCTGAGCAAGTCACTTAACTCCACTGCCTAGTTAAAAAAAAAAATTCAATTAATTCTTTCTCCATAGATAAGCATTACTGAAAGATAGTATAGCATGTTGAAGAAAAGCCAGGCCTTGAAATCAAAAGACATGAGTTCAACTGCCTCCTCTGATATGCCTTGGTTATGTGACACAGGTAGGTCATTTAATATCTCCGATCCAAGGCAACTTTTAAAGACTTTAAATCCCAAATCAACTGCTCAGCTGAATCATGGAAAGGTACTGTTTCCACAGGGGGATTTTACTACCCCACTGAAAAAATAAATCCTAACTAAAAAATATGGTAACTACAGCTAATCTGAAGTCCCTTGGAAGTTTGCTTAAATTTTTCTTATCACCTCCTTAAATTATTACAAGACTAAATAAATAACAAATGACAATAAAGACTGTTGTTACTTAATATTTTTGGTTTTTTTAAATATAGAATTATTGATATTTGTGATGAAATAGAAATAAATGGATCATTTTGTTCTGCCTCCCATTAGAATTAGGTTTCACAAGTTCATTTTCAGGACAATAAAAGCTGCTCTGAAGCAGTCTATTTACTAGTGATTTCTCATGTAAATAAATGCATAAAACCAGCTTCAAACAAGTAAAATTCCTTCAACTAGGAAAAAAAATTCCTGGTTTTGCTATGAAAATCTGTTAAGCATCTTCCTCATATTATTCTTTATATAGATGAATTTCTTCCTAAAAATTATTTTCCTACAATTATTTTTCACTTACAACTCACTGTAATTCAGAATACTTTTTTTCTGCAAATATTTTTCAAAAATCCATTTTCTCCTTTATGTTAAGTATATGCTGAAAAATAATCCATATTCAACAGAAGCTTGGAAAATTTGTTTTCCCCATGTATAATTCTATTCTTTGGATTCCATTTCAAGATATTTTCACTGAATTTTCAAGTGCTTAAAATATAACTCAGTATTCAAATTACAATGCCCTCTTGGGGCTTATAATCAAACCACATTTTTTACTTGACCTATACAAAAGCAACAACACGAGAACCTATGAGAACCATAAGAAGCTAATAAAAGTAAATTCTAATCTGCCAAAAGACACAAGCTTTCAGTGAGATGACTAGAAAAATATATTCTTGCCTTGTCGTCTCTCCCTCTTGCTCTAAAATCCTTGTCCCTACTGGAGGTGGGTTTTTCGCTCTTTGATATAGGGTGTGCTCTGCCTACAGGTCCCCGAGGCCCTACTCCTGGTATTTCTTTCCTCAGGGGTCTCACTTCTCGATTTGGGCGCCTTATCTGAGGTGGAGCCCTGACAAAGAGAAAAACAAGCATTAGTAAAAGTAAAATATATTTTATATATATATATATATATACATATTTTTTTAAAGCATCTTTGATGTTATCTTAATAAAACTACTAAATACACTCAATACCTTAGCTATGTCTTTCTCTTTTATTAAGCCATGTACATACCTGTCAGGCATATGAATTTTTTAAAAAACTTAAAAGTTTAAACTTAAAAGTCTTAAAAGTTTAAAAGTTCAAATCCTTTCAATACAAACAGCTACCTTCATTAGACAGACCAACAGAAGACAATTACCTAATTTATAATCATAGTATTATTGAGGACAAAGTTAACTCTCCCCTATTAAATAATCTTAATGGCTCTATGGAAGCCTATTTTATTCAGTCTTTTCCTAAACCAACAGTATGTAACCTAAAAGAATGCTTTAAAAACTGTAGAAGGACAAGAAGTAGGAAACTATCAACGAAAAATTTACGCATTTACTCTTACCAATAACTAAAAGTAGGTGATTTTCTTCTCCACTGCTAAGAGTAGCCCAGAAATTTCCTTAGTCAAATGCCAAATGGTGGCATTTCTATTGAATTCATTCAACAAATATGTTTTACGTCTCCACTGTGTACAATGCACTGTGCTACATAATGAAAAGGAACACAGCAAAAAGAAAACAGCCCTATTCTCAAGGCACTTACAAATTGTCCTAGGGTTCACATGCCATGTACACAAGTAAATAAATATCAAGTAATTTGAGCTTCTAAGAAGTGGAGAGGAGGAGAGTTCACTTTAGACATAGGGATGGGACATCACTTGTCCAAAGATACCAAGTAGCAATGGTACAATGTAGAAGTGCTAGCAGGCCAGTTTGACTGTAATGGAGAATGCAAAGGAAGAAAGGAGTTATATTGTGCAAGGTTTTTAATGCCAAGCTGAGGATTCTACATTTTGTCCTGAAGAAAAAAAGGAGCCATTGAACATTTTGCAGTAGTGGACTTGGGTCAATGGATTGTAAAGGGGAGAAACTGGATACAAGATGATCAATTAAGAAGCTACTGCAAAAATCCAAAGGTGAAATGATTCTGGAGAACAATTTGGAACTATGCCCAAGACTATAAAACTGTGCATACCCTTGACCCCAGCTACTAGGTTTGTTTCCCCAAAAGATCAAAGAAAAAGGAAAAGGACCCATATGTACAAGAGTATTTACAGCAGTTCTTTTTATGGTGGCAAAGAATTGGCAACTGAAGAGATGCCCATCAGCTGGGAAACAGCCGAACAAGTTTTGTTATATTATTGTGATGGAACATTATTGTGATATAAGAAAAGACAAGGGGACTGGTTTCAGAAAAACCTAGGAAAAACTACATATAAATTGACACAGAGTGAAGAGAACTATGCTATGAGCAATGAAATGATCCAACTCGATTCCAAAAGACTCATGATGAAAAATGCTATCCATCTGTAGACAAAGAATTGATGAACTCTGAGTGCAAATTGAAGTATAAATTTTTCTTTTTCTTGCTTTTTTGCAACATGGCTATTATGGAAAGTTGTCTTTTGTGATTCCACATGTATAACTGATACCATATTGTTTGCATTCTCAATTGGTAGGGAAGAGGCTAGAGGGAAGGAAAGAATTTGGAACTCAAATTTTTTTAAATGAATGTTAAAAATAATTTTTTTTTTAAATCCAAAGGTGAGGTGATAAGGGCTTGTGTGAATAGAAAGAATGTGACTGATAGAAGATATGTAGTCAATGAAGGATAAACAACATTTTGCAACTGATTAGATATGAGAATTGACATTAAGGGAACATTAAAATTAATTAAAAACATTAAAATTAAAATAAAAAATGGAAAATAAATAAAATTCACATTCTGAGGTTTTGGGAAGTTAGAACAGTCAAATACACGTATTTATCACTTGTAAAAATCAAAGCACATCCACCCCTCAAATTAACACAAATTCTCAACCTAAACCAAGAATTTTAATAACCAATGGTACAAAAAAGCAAATTTTATTTTGTGTAATGTGAAATACATCTCTGATACATCTCTACAAGTCTAATAAGTATGATCATGAGGCCTAGTCTCTCAGTAATGAATCTGTTTCTCTGTTCTACTCTATCTTGGTTCTGCCTTTCTCTGTGTCTCTGCCTGTGTTTCTCTTTGAGTACATCTATCATCAGTACCTCTTTGTTGCCTCTGCCTCTATGTTTTTTTGATCCCATGTGTATCCACTTCATCCTCATGCACTAGCCCTTGGTACCCCTGTTTTAGCCAGGGGCTTTAATTCACTTGTAGAAACATCAGAGCATTTCTCTGCCTCAGGCTTGGAATGTGAGTACAAACATGCCACTCTTCAATGAACGGAGCAAGAGGAACAGATGAGAAGTTTATAAAAGGCACATCCTTGGAGCAAAATATACATAAAATATATGACAAACTGACCCAAGACACCAACATATTACTAAAGCCCACTGCCACAAACCAAACCGTTTTTGTTAATTTTTTTTTTATTTTAAACTTAAATGCAACATAAAAAAGGAAAAAAACTTAAACACTAAAACTTAATACAAAATAAGAAAAGGAAAAAAAATTGCCATGTGCACAGCAGAACATAAGAGAGGATTCAAAATATAAAGTAATAAATTTCCATTTCAAGAAAGCCTATAGCATAAATACTACACATGACGTTCAGAGCTGTCCATCTTTTCTTTACTTCCTTGAAGGTTTTATTTTGTTCTCTGCTACACACTTTTTACTTTGTCCTTTTTTCCCCCCTTCCTCTTCCCCTCCCCCAAGAAGTTTACAATTAAGTGAAGACACACACACACACATTCATATATATACACACAAACACATAAAGACATACATATAGATATACATACATACATACACATATACATTCGTATGTATCTATGTAAGATCATACTATACTTGTTTGTGCTGTTTCTCTGAAGGTGGATAACATCTTCCTTTATAAGTCCAAGTCTTTCCACATTTTTCTAAATCCACTGATCCATCATTTCGTACACCAGAGCAATATTCCAACCTTATACTGTCTAGTTACTTTAAAGAGTCAAAACCAATATTGATTAATGTGGCTGACATTTGGTGTAGTTTCCCTATTTTTCCTTTGATTAAATCCATTTTAACTTTAACTTTGTCTGAGATTATGATTACTAGCCCTGCTTTTTTTCCCTAATAAATTCTACTCCTGATCTTTATTTTATATTTGTGTATCTCTTATTTCCTATCCCTCCTGACTCCTCTACTTTACTTCTACCCACTATCTTGCCCTCATATCATTCAACCTCATCCTCTTCCCCCTCCTTCCCCTTGCCCTCATTTCTAACTGAATTTATAAGACTTTTATAGCCTTCCAAATATATATCTCGTATGTATATATTGTTCTCTCTTTAACCTAGATCTGATGTGAGCAGGGTTCCCTCTAAAAATCCCCCCATCACCTTAGCCTTTTACTTCTTTCCGAATTTAAAAGACTTTACAACCTTCTAGATATATATATATGTATTGCTCCCTCTTTAACCCATTACCAGTAAGAGTAGGGTAGGGTTCCAAAACTACTAGCCCTCCTCCCCCACTTAATTCCTCTGTGTCAGTTCTTCCTCTCACACCTGGTTTGTATAAGATAATCACTCTTTTTACCTTTTCCTAGACAGTATTACTTTTTAAAATCACATCATAGTCAGCTCTACTCCAATCTTTCTTTCAAACTACCCAATTACTAATTACAATCTTAGAGACAGTTTACATTTCTTCATATAAAAAGTAAACAGTCTGTTCTTTTTCAGTCCCTTGTAATTAGGCTTTGATGTTTACCTTTGATGTTTACCTCGATGTTTCTCTTGGATTTTGTAGGTCAAATTTTCTATTAAGTTCAAGTCTTTTTGTCCTGAAAGTCTGGCAATTTATTGAATGTCCATTTTTTCATTCAGGATTATGCTCAACTTTACTGGGTATGATATTTTCTGCTGTAATCTCAGTTCTTTTGCTCTTCAATATATATAGTGTTCCAAGATCTGTGGTCTTTCAGTGTAGCCACTGCTAGGTCTTCTGTGATTCCAATTGTGATTCTGTCATAAGTAAATTATTTTTTTCCTGTTTCTCATATTTTCTCCTTAAGTTGGGGGTTTCAGAATTTAGCTATGATATTCCTGTAGGTTTTCCCCACAGGATCTCTTTCAGGTGATGATTGGTGTATTTTTTCTATTTCTACTTTCCCCTCTTGTTCTAACACTTCAGGACAATTTTCTTTAATTACTTCTGGTATTACTGCATCACGATTCTTTTTTTGATTATAGCTTTCAGGTAGTTCAATTACTCTTACATTTCCTCTTCGTGATCTGTTCTCCAGATCAGCTGTTTTTCTTATGAGATGTTTCACATTCTCTTCTATTTTTTATTCTTTACATTTTGTTTTATTATTTCTTGGTCTCTTAGAACTTCGATGGCTTCCCCTTTCCCAATTCTAATTTTTAAGGAGTTGTTTTCTTCCTTAAAATTCTGGATCTCCAATTCTAGTTGGTTAACTTTCTTTTCATAATCTTCTTGTTTTTCTTGGATTGTTCTTTTCTTTATTTTTCCTCCATCTCTCTCATTTGATTTTTAAAGTCTTTTTTAAATTTCTTCAATGAATTCCTTTGGGGCAAATGAACATCTGACATTACTCTTTGGGGTGGGAGAGGCTTTTTTTTGCTTCAGTACCCTCCTCTAAAGACAAACCCCAGTCTTCTCTATTCCCAAAGTAACTTTCTATGGTTGCATTCTTGCTCCTTTTCCTGCTCATTTATTTTTGTTTTATATAGCAACTTCTTGTAATCGCTTCTAGTCCTGGGGTATGAGGAATGGTGCATCTGGCCTCAAGTCCTCCTCCAGTTCTCCCCTCTGGCCTGGAACCAAAACTAAGAACTCTGCCCTCTTGTAAGTGTCCACAACAAAGTGTCCCTGCCCCACAGCTTCTGCATTCACTAGGATGTGCTGGTT